CTGCATGTAAAAGTACATCTAAAAATATGGTTTCGAAAATTGTTTATCAACTTTGAAAATCTAATTTTTCTTGAAAATGTGACTTCTTGTTCGGGTTGATTCCCCATAGACCCCATGATACAAAATCACAAAAAGTGAAATATCTTTTCTTGTATTGGATAGATAACATTTTCTTTTACTGGACATATTTCAGTTTGCATAACTATTAGATACATAAGGGTTATATGAAAATTGAATCATTAAAACAGATGTGATTTAAGTTTAAGGGGACTTTCTCCTATACCCGCCATGCTATCTGACCCGAACGAGCCACCTGGTGGTGAATCTGGTAACTACCTACTCGCATCTGCGTTATTGAGAAAAATGAATCTTATGGGCTCCATATACATTTTGAGTGGCTGTCCGGCTTAAGTTAGATACTACTGATAATCTGAGATTGAGTATTATGTCAAGTTTAGTCCTCAGCCTCTCTTAACTGATAACTTCGAGGTAATTGTGTTGTTACTGCAAAAACTTCTATTTCTTCATCACAAATCTACCATTTTTTACATCTGTCAAAACCCCTCATTGCATGTTAATTTTCAGACTTTTGCTTGTGCCATCATTAAATATATATATTCAACTTGTTATTCAGGATATTTTAAGAACTTTTCATGAGGTTTTTTATTTTCACACTTTTGAAAAAATGACTAAGTCCGAGAATGGCCTCTTAATGGCATGTCCCCTTTTCACAAAATGTACTTTGAAGTATTGCAACTAAAATTGTATAGTTTCAGAAAAATGATGAAATGCGGGTAGAGTTGTGGTTACTATAGTAACATGACATCACAATACCCGGGGCAACTTTTTCTGAAAATGTGATATCTAACATTTTTGTATTACTGAAGAAAGTATCTAATTCGCCTATTATAATTCAACATTTCTTGTTTATTTTATTAGTTGCTTTGTTGTTAAGTAGTTGCTATAAGACTCAGATTCAAGTATAATTTCATTATAATTATATTTATTCAATTTCCTAGAATATCACTATGAATTACAGTCTGAACAATTCACGGTTGAGTTTTTGAAAAGACCCAATTTGAAGCCAGTCATCCACCTTGATAACACGCCTGCCAACAGGTCACCATGCAGCTATACCAGCAAGACCATGCAGCTATAGAGGAGCTAGGTCTTGAGTTCTAAAACCATGCACCATACTCTTCTGATCATGCAACATCCAATTTTACTTATATGGAGAATGGAATGCTAATCAGTGCTGTAAGATCTTTAAAAATGAGAATGACCTTCTCCAAGGACCATGCGTGACATGTCCTCAAATGGGTTCAATCATGTGTTTGAGTCATGGATACAGAGTGCTACTCTTCTACTGACCAAAGAGGAGTCTATTTTTCAGTACATAGGATACATAGGAATATCAAATTATGTAAAACAAATGTAATTCCCACCAGTTGTTGCATTTTAACTTTGATATGGGATGTACAAAATGCTTAATGTCTCTTTCTGTCTTAATGTAACTTTCTGCGTGGAATGTTGCCCCGGGTATTGTGATGTCATGTTACCATAGCAACCATAACTCTACCCGAGTTACATATTTTTTGTCGAAACTTTGCAGTTTTAGTAACGATACATGAAAGTACATTATGTACAATTTTGAAGACGATTGGTGCATATTTAACAAGATGCCAGCACCAGTCCTGTTACTTTTGGAACACCCTGTATGTTAACATACTATGAAGTTTGACTTTATTGCTCTTGAACTGTTCTGCAGGGGATATTTTGAAGATTAATAGATTAACATGGGACTCAATGGAAACGTTCAAATTTTCGAGGCCTGTTATCATTTACTGGGACCACTTTTTAACATCACTTCGGTAAATATCAAAAATATATGTATTAATGATACTTTGGTCAAAAAGGGTGCCTTATATAGCAAGTGCAATTATACTGCTAACTGACTGCACCATTGCCTTTGTGTTACCATTTACTGTATATGTCATAAAAAACTTTAGATTACCGACATATGAGGACAGACGCGTAATGCCATATATGGAGGCGTTCATATTAGAAGGATTGCGTTACATGTCAGAGGTTCCAATATCTGTGCCACATAAAACATTGAAGGATGTCACGTTAAGAGGATACTTCATACCTAAGGACACACAAGTAAGACAAACTTATCAATTACTAGGTCATCAATAAGCTCAACAAACATGTAACATTAGGTAAGATAAACTTATCAACAACCAGGTCAACAATCAATTCAACAAACATGTATCATTTACAACATTTTTCAGTATTTGCATAACTGTGTTAAAACGAAATATACTGGGTTTAACATCAAAAAGTGATTTCTATATTTAGATTTGGCCGAATCTGTACGGACTACATCACGATGAGCGATTCTTCCCGGATCCTTACACGTTTAAACCTGAACGATTCCTTGACTCTGAAGGTGAATTAATTCCGGTACATGAGAGAAAACAGTACGTGAGCTATACGTATTTTGTTCAATTTATGAGCAGAAATTATGTGGATTTTTGGGGATTTGGGTTACCTCTAATACACTATTGATGTAGAGTAAATTTGTGGTTTATTGTAGTTTGTTGCCATTCGGAGGTGGTAAGAGGGTGTGTGTCGGAGAACAGTTGGCTAAGATCCGAATGTTCCTGTTCATGACCACCTTGCTCCAGCGCTACACGCTGTACCCTGAAACTGACGGATGCCCTCCAAACTACGACCCTCGTTTGTCAATAAATGGTGTGACCATGAGGATGCATGCTTACAAGATAAAAACTGTCGAGAGATCACGTTTCAATGTACTAACTTAACTGCAGAGGATTTCCTTACATATATGCTACCGCTGGATTACGATATGATTTTGCTTTTGAACATTAAAAGATATAATATACATTGATTTAACCTAGTATAACTATATGAAGTTCTCTACAGTGGTCTTTCAACTGAGTTTGAATATACGCTTTCAATTCGATCCGATTCATTTATTGCTAAATTAGCCATTTTTAAAGCTTCTAATTGACGGATTAGTTTCTTTGATTTACCTGTTATTATAGTGTGTGACCTGGATATTTTCTAAATAAATAATAATATAAGACTTTCACGACTCAACTCAAAGATAAACTGATCGTAATCCCGGTTAGAAATAATTATATTCTTTTAAACAATAATCTGTTTCATGTTATATTATTTCTAATGTACACTATCTGATAAGTTATTTTTGTATATTTTAACATTATCTTATTCATTGACGCTGAACACATGGGTCTCCAGGTTATCATTTTTCCTTTCTAAGATATGTTAGAAATCCAATAATTGGCAACCCAATTAAATTACTAAGAATTTAAGGAAACCACCAATTAGTCATTCCTTTGTACTGCAAGCTTGATAAACTAAATACTTTGAATAAATGCGAAATAACAATAATAAATATGCTATTTTGCATATATGCACAATATCTAAAAAGTTATCATTGTATCTTTTAACATTACCATATATCTGACTTTTCAACCTATAAGTAATTGAGGGAAAAAATTGAGAAAAATTGAAGGTATTGGAAATAAAGTCAAGTTACGTTTCCATCAATATTATAAGTTATTTCATAAGTTATTCTTGTATATTTTAACAATATCTTATTCATTAACCCTGAAAACACAAGTTTTGACAAACTAATTATGCTGCTTTCATATTTACATTTCAAGATATAGAAAACAATCAATATTTCAATTATGGCCTCGCTAATTAGCCTCTATTATTTTTTCCCCAAACTAACTTTTTGTCCAACCCAGCTAAATCTCTTCAGGAAACCCATATCGTCATAAATTAACCAAAAGACAATTCATAGGTTCACTATAGGATGCATAGGAGTGACAAATGAACTAATAGCATTAATAGCCAAGGAAAGAAAAATGACAATCAAACCATATAATCATATAGCATACCTAAAAATAAAATTCGGGATACAATATGGGATATTTTATTCGGGGTATTTTAGGAAAAAATCAGGACAATTTTCTTAAAATCGGGAACAAAAAATCGGGGTTTTGAAAAAAGATCAGGATGAGTAATTAAAAATCGGGATTTGAATTGGGATTAGACAGGTGAGATATAGTGACAAACAGTAATATATTGAGTGACTTGATCAACCGGTGCCTGTGTGAAGGCTACACTCTTTTCAAAAGTCTGCATACATTGAGACCCAGTACATGTATGTTGGAGTCTTGTAAATGAAGGTTCATTAGGGAACTTGCAATTTGTTCATTATTATATCACCACCAAGAAGTGGTGACATATGGTCTCCGTCTTTTTTTGTGGCGGCGGTTGGTGGTTGGCGATCGGCGGGTGGCGGGCGGCGATTGGCGTCTGTAAAAAACTCTTAACATTTCCGATAACTTAACATTGCTGTTTAGACTGACTTCAATTTTTCCCAAATCATCTATAAGTTTTCAGAAGATCAAATTTAATTTTGTATTTAGGATGTCACCTTCAATGACCGTGTAGGAGTGTATATGTAGGAGGTTACATTTCCCCTGGCGCCTAAATCTGCAATTATCGAGTTTGAGACATTAATTAAGTTCAAGCAAGTAAAGCCCATACACACAGAAGTCGACTCGGGGTAAAATATGAACAGGGTGTTGAATGATCAGTTTTCTTGACCGACTTGAGTTGAATTAAGAACACGTGGGATGATTTGATTTGCACCATTTTTCAGGGAGAGTGTCTTTATCTCTAGCCTTGGTTGATTTAATTTGCTGTTCACTGCAGGAATGGCATCGTATCCCGCAGAAAAAGATGAACCTGTTCATCTTAGCATGTTGCAATTCAGTTTCAAGAAAATATCTTTGTGGATAATATAATAAGTTTAACATGACCCATATGAGAGCACTCCGAATATACGAGCAACTGTGTATGAGGTGTTTGTTTTACATACACACTTGTAATAGATAAATGTCATTCAATGTCATTTAGTTACCTAGTCATAGCATCGGGAACAATGTTATTCGAAATTGCTGTGTTACTTGTGTCCTTGTTGTTGCTCAAATACGCCTGGGGTAGATCAAGACGTCCGAAATGCACAGTACCTGGACCTCCACCCGGTGGGTTCCCTATTCTCGGAAACATCGTTCAAATTGCCGACGAGCGAGTTTACCAAAAGCTGTGCGATTGGCAAAAGGACCTAGGAGATGTATACAAATTAAATCTAGTTACCGAGGATGTTGTAGTTGTAAACGGAGACGCCATTTACGATGTCCTAGTTACCAACGGTGATGATTATGGCGGCCGAATGCAGGGACATAGAGAAGGAATGTACTCCAACGGCTTTCAAAATATGGGATATAGGTAATATATTTGTACGTTAACTGTTAGGATTGTGTACTCGTATATAATAATGCTATTAAGAAAATCTTCCAGCCAAGATTATTTATAATGATAGGCAACCTGATAAAGAATGGAAGGCGATGCGTAAAATTGCCCAGAAAGGACTAAAACAGTACGGAGACGGCGTGGCCCATATTGAGCGAATCAGCATGGAAGAGATCCTTGAATGCCTTGACAAATTCAACAAGACAGAAGCGTTCGACCCTTATGATCCTATCTACGCTATGGTGATCGGCATTGTCATAGTAATTGTGAGTTAAGAATATCAACAATTCTTGGGGATATACACTTCCTTTCATTAATTATGTTTGAATTTTTATTTGCATTATATGTAAAGAAAATACTACTTTTAGGACTTGAAATATAAATAGACATCATTTCCAATACCTCCGAAATTTTCTATTTTTTCTATTTTTACAAGTTAGGTAAAGAATTGAATTTGTAATCTTTGTTTAACAGAAAATGATATGTTTCTTCACGTTCAACACAGTTATAGCTGTCTTCAAAGTCAGAATTATTTTTCATGAAACCTCTCTCGAAATAACAAAGGAGGCGAAAAATGACTTCAAAATGACTTTGAAGCTCTTTAACTTTATTGTTCACAAAGTAAACTATTAACACTTAACAGCATGCAAAAAGTTAGACAATTAAATTTACTTTAAGAATATTTTTGCTGAAGCATTTACTGGATAGATATCCAGAAATCTGACTTGCCCCGAACCAACCATTTCACATTAGTTTACATGTGAATGACAATTATTCAGGTTCTGTATCAGGAAATATTCATTGATCCTTTAATGTCCTCGGGCGGTTGGGAATTCTTATAAAAGCGATCGATTACAATGAATATCAAATTATGAAATAAATATTTAAATAAAAAAAAAAATATATATATAATGCCACGCTATTGTGATATTGTAGTCATTGGGTGAGAGACTCAGCCCTGATAATCCGTTATACCAGAAAATTAAACGAGCAGATGAATTATTCCCTGCTGCGTTCGGAGTTGCTACGTCGTACATTGATGTCATTCCTTGGTTGAACCATCTACCAATTAAGGCTAGTAAAACTTTTAAGGAGGCAATGGATGCGGTTAGACAAATGGAGGCGGAAATATACCAGCGATCAAAGGTTTGTACAGTGCATATATCATATCATATCATTACCATATGGTATATACAATGCACAATGAATTGGAGAGTACACCGATAAAAAAGTGCCACGCGTAAAATTGCCTCACGAGCAAACTTGAAATTATGAAATCCTTGAAATCTGAAAATAGAATTTAAATCACTAGGATCTAGAATTAGCATAGTATTTGAAATAGTGTGTTCTGATTTGCTGGAATGTGATATATCATGCATGGCCCATCCTCCGAACAAAGACCTCCAGAAGTCGTACCTCCTTTTCTTCTTCTAGAATAAATAACAAAACATGGATAAATAATATTTTGGGGATAATGTTATGTGTATTTTTGAGCCTTTAATGACAGTCTAAATACTAAATTCAAATACTGATTTGTAAGCAGTTTCCAGGAACAAATCTGATTTGAATACATTCCGAGTATTTATTTTTCATGCAACCGTCGGGACAACGATATACCGATCCGTTTAATACCCTTTTTACAGAACAACGTGGAAAAGTCCACAATATCCGGCGTGATTGATGCCATCAATGCAAATCGGGGAGAACTGAATGATGCCTTCATTAAAGGCTTGATAAACGACATTACTCTCGCAGCGACAATAACCACCTCTACTCAGCTCAGATCATTGGTTGCACTAACAGTGGACTACCCAGAGATTCAACAAAAATTGCACGATGAAATAGACAATGTCTTGGGACAAAGGTATATCCCTTGTATTTACCGTATATATTGGTATTTTGTCAATCTCCCCTATCCAAATGTATGAGTTTTTTTAAATTTTGTTCTTTGATAAATTGTAACAAAATCAGTATATATGTTTTTGTGATCCATGCCATGTTCATCATTTGGGACAATTTTTCTTCCGTTTCCAAGGGTCAGGCAACGGATTATTATTATGATATATAAATCAAATCAAATACAAATAAGAAGGATATGTCATTGAAATAATTTAATTTTGGTATTGAAATATCTACATTTTTAAACTAAATGACCTAGATCGAGGAATAAAACAGGCACAGTCAAATGCCTCGCAACTGTTATAGTGTCAAAATACTGTGCCTGCGACAATACAATCACCATGCAATTTTGTAAATATGCAATGCTATGCATATTTCAGCTTTAATTATCGATTTCATGAGTGAGAACGCTACATTGATTGATTAAGAACCAGAAACTAACGTTCGTGATGGATGGTATTCAGGACGATTTCATGCAGTAGAGCAATATTTGTGAAATTCAAGAAACTCATAGGTTTTCGAACTGGCCCTTGCAAAGACAGGATTTTTGTTTGATCATAACTTGACGAGTAGTCAGAGGCGTAGCCAGCTTTCAGTCAGGGGGGGGGGGGGTGCAATCACCAACAATTTTATCGTTTTCAGTCCGGGTGGTGTGATCGTGGCATAAGCAACCAAATAGATGACGATTTGTTTTGAATTTTACAAAAAATCACAATTGAGCTAGAGGCTTCACATAAAAAGCATTTTAAAGCTCCTTTCTTCCTCTATCTACTGGTTATATTTTCATTGGTTATGGGGGGGGGTGCGATCGCACCATTGCAACCCTCCTGGCTACACCTATGGTAGTCATTCAATTCTAAATGTTCATTTATAAGTGAGAGCCATACTATCATTAATAAGAGCAAGAATCGTAATGGATGAGTGACACCATTCGAGACGATTTCATGCAGCAGGGCGACATTGTGAATTATACGAAATTAAAGGTTCTTATTTATTTTTATTTCATTGACTGTCTATATTTCATGGTGTAAATCCCAAACGCGCCTGCATGCACTACAGAGCGTTTCATTCATATTCACGTGGAAAAGTGGCGGCTAATGAAGATCCCTCGATGGCCGTAAGTATTGTTGCACTCGTTTCCCTTATATATCAAACGTTATGGTGACATATCATGTACCATTCGATGAACAATACCCTGAGCAAAGATCTTATTCATCTGGTGGTGCTTCACGTGCAATGAGCCGACTTAAGTCTACATTAGATGATGTTATGCCTACATGTGTGCTAAAGCATGAAACTGGCAAAGAAGAACAAAAAGCATAAAAGTGTATGGTGCGTTGACACTTGAAATTTAACCAAAATATACTTTGATGCTCTTATCTTGGCTCAACTGATCATGTGTCTCGACAAAGGGGTTTTAACTGATAAATTACAATCAAACAGCTCTTTCGAATTGATTCAAACGTCAACAGCCAGCCAAGTACAACACGATTATCACACCCAAGAATTGTTTACACGAATTAAGTAACACATACCTAATATTCCCATTATCGAAATCGTTCGACGGCTGATTTTCGCCCGCTATTTTTCTTACTCCGGAGCGTTTCGTCAGTAATGAAACGATCTGTCGTGCATGTAAGAGTGTTGGGTTATACAAAAATTATTATATTTAAATATCGGATTGATTTCATAGTATAGATAGTCCCATCCCAACAAGGATTGAAAAAATGTTCAACAACGCCTCATCTCTTAAAATGAAAAAGTCGTCTTTGAAAAGTTAGTCTCTAAGTGATACGAGGGTTGTCCCAGAAGTAATGCACTATATGCTCTAACTTTATCAATAGTTGATATTTTTCCATGAAAAGTAAATGTTTTTGATGCCTGTCAGGTCAAACACTCTTGGCAATTTCTTCCACTCTGACTTGGAGTTTTTGCCTCCCTTTTTTGGAGTTGTCATCCAGGGTCCAGTCATCTATTTTTATCTCTTCTGCCACCTCATAATTGTAGTTCTATCTGGTATATACTCCCTTTATACTTTCTTCATGGTAGCATAAGTTTTGCGTGGCTGTGAGTCGAAGTGAAGTATGAAATTAGGCCACCAAATGCAAGGCCTTCTGTTATCAGGTGAGAATTGTAGCAATTTTTGCAATTTCTTGACTGTGACTGTATTTGAATTTGTGATTGCTGAACTGTGGTATTATGCCACCACAGTGAATAAATTTTATAATTTCCCAAATATTTTGATCATTTAAAAGAAAGAAATATTAATAAAATAACACTTTGGATCTTTTCATAATTAGAAAAATTGGTACCTGCCCCGCCCATCCCTACCCCCACGTTGCTAAAGCAACCAAATTAAGACTTAATATTGATGTTTGATGCTGAAACTTCATAATATAATAGATAAAACTTCAATTGTTGTATACACAAATTTTCAGCTGAATTGAGGAATATTTGGAAGGAAGAAAGTTAGAGCATATAGTGCATTACTTCTGGAACAACCCTCGTACATACACTTATTATGAACCACCTCCTAAAATTCCCAGTTATATTACGGAATGAGATGTCTCTTAGGGTTCATGTTGTCAAATCAGAAAGCATTGTTAGGAGTCATGCTTCGTATAGTCATATAAATCCGACCGTTGTATGCTGTTCTTTGGTGTTCCTAGTTCTTAATTGGATATTTATTTTTTATCATTTTCTTGGCATGTACGGTCGTAGATATAATATGGAACAAACTGCGGGAAACGCTTTCCTGGCCTGTCTGAGTATCCATACCAACAAAAGTCACACAAATTATCGATTTTTTTATTTTGCTCCAACATCAAAGTGTTAAATCTTACCTTAGACATGTAAAACGCTTGATACACTGTGATTAGTCGATCTATGTGGATGCAGTCAGGCACATGTAATGTTTCGTGAGTGCCCGCCTCTGTACTTTTCAATGGAAGAATTTTGCACTTCTGTTTAGATAATCTATATTTACTCATCCGTGTATATCATACTTCATTAATTTACAAAACCAAAGCTACGCTATAAACACACATTCTCTGATATTTTTGTGGAGAATATATAACTCAAACGAGTTCACTCGACCAGTTTTATCATCTCGCTCATAGCTGTGAGAAGGTATGTATAATTTGCCATAGGTTTACCTTATGATGGGGAATAAAAAATTCAAGTAATATAATTATTTCACCTACACAAATATGTCTGTGTGGAGTAAAATACAAATAAAATACGTTTTATAATATTTTGGCGTTATGGTATGAAATATCTGCTTTAAAAAAGCAATTTAATTATGATGTATCATGTGGATTAATAGACGTTCTTAATGGATTCAATGAACAGACTGGCTAGGTTGTAATTGAATCATTTTGAATGTGTGTATTTTTAATATTTTAATCCACAGTGTCCAAAAACAATAATAATGCTATATTGGTAATTGGAAAGATTTCACTTACCACGATTTCCAAAAAATTGTAAATAGATAATATTATTCTTGAATATGGGTAGCTGACAAAATCATCAAGATTTACGGATGGTCCATCTGTTGGCTGCTCATTGTCACTTTTAAGGAATGTTAATGGCTCTGAAACTTGTAGCTTTGCCCAAGTCGGTATTTATTTACTTATCTGACCTTGAATTATTACCACCTTGTACAATCCAATGCATCATCGCTGATATTATGCTAAGTTATCCAGCGGTTCCGAGATTCCCATAATACCTACCCTACCTTAAGGTATCGCGAAACCTTATTGATTGACAAGATCGCATGGACACGACCTGTGACTTCAGGCTGATTTACCAATCAAAACGTTATCTGATCTGATCGAGTGTTTCTTGAGAGTTACAATATATTATGTTATTAAATGGACATTGGAATGTAAGCAGTCATTAATACTCATATAAATGAAATCATGCAATTCAATGTTGATTCAAAATCAAAACTGAATTCGCGATGGAAATGCACGAAGACCTAGTCCGGTACGTGGCTTTCTCTTGGGTACAGGGCGGTAATAATAGAAATCAAGATAAGTAAAAGAGACCGACTTGGGCAAGGCTATGGAACTTGATTTGTGGGTATTCTAGTGGGTTGATGGGTTTTGGCTCTGAATTCACTTCATTGGCGTACCTAATTTCAACATTTTCATTGTCATCATTACAAGATATTGACCCGTTTTTCAAATTAACAGTATTAGGGATAAAACCATAGTTTTTCCATCTGTAATGGCATTTTCCAGTTGATGGGTTTATATATAGTATTTTCAATTCTTCATGAGGGTGTCTTGTAATGGTGTGGCTAATTACTTTACTGAATGAGGAATGTTTATCCAAACAATGGATACAAAGAAAATCTGGCCAGTTGTCCATCAGTAAATAAATCATCATGATAAAATTATAATTTTATTATAGCATCCATCTGTTACCATTCTGAATCCAAATGATACATAGTGGCATCCATTTGATACATATATGTTGACGTTTACGAAATGTTTTTCAAATATCTCCCCTATAACAGGAATATGGTAGCTGAAACTTTCACACATTGTCATAATATGTATATTGAATATGTATGCAAGATTTCAAGTCACAATGTTAAGTAGAAACTCTGAGATCACTTGCCTCGATCTGCTGTCATATTTTTGCAATGATCCCATTCCCTATAATGTACGCGAGCACCCACGATACATTGCATATAAATGACTGCATCCACATAGATCGACTAGCCACAGTGTGATAATTGACGAAATATAATCAGTTGAAGTATATTTTCATTATCGCCCGTCATGTTGTTTCCGGTAGTCTAAATGTAAACATGGATCGAAGCGGAATCATAATTATTTATTACACAGAGATTCAAAGGCTGTTCTTTCATACTACTCACTTTATTCATTTCTGAAACAATAACTTTTCCACGTTACTTCCCTTCTTAATAATACTGCGTTTCTTCCATCTGAGTCT